AGAGACAGGGGCAGTGCCATAGTCTTGGCTCCAAGGCCACTGGTTGGCAATGACACTAATGCACCGACTTGCTCTGCTAACATCTGTGTCCACAGAGATGCCAGCAAAACCATTAGACTTGCCACTAAACAGGCATCTGTACAACATCTGGATTAGCTAGATTGAAATAGAGTAACCAGTTTGCTTTTCCAATACTGTTTTCACCATTCTCTTCCTGTCTTTCTGTATGTTTCCTCCATCTATTGACAGACAGATATATTCCTCATTATGCAGAGCAGAACAACCACTTCACAACTAAGCAATACTTCTCAAACAAGAGATTAACTAGCTGCAAATAAAACCTAGAACTTGTCTTGGGAAATCAGCTATTCATTTACATAATAAGGCTTTATCTACCATTTATCTATCTTTTTTAAGGGTTGCAGTATGACAAGGTTAGTGGTGAAGAATTCTCAACACAGAGAAGTACCTCGACGTAGTAAGTTCCTCAAAGACAACAGGAAAGGTAGTGTGCTGCCCTGTCTCGTACAACAATAAGCCCCACAAACTACACATAACATTGACTGTTATCAATGTTGTTAAAGGTGAGGCTGGCATTCCTAGCAGAAGTGACAGTAGCAAAAATCCAGATGGTTCTCCCTAACATCTAACACCTGTTAATATCATATCCACCTCAGTTTGATTAAATTGAAACTAGACTATTTTCTTGCTTCCATTATCACCTAGGAACCCAATGCAACATCGGACTTTTAAGACAGCAAAATGCACACACAGGATTCTGCAGTTTAGAGATGTCCTAAATTTCCCAGCAGCATCTTAAGTTGTTACTCTATGAGACCACAGGGAAAAAAACCCTCTGGAAAAAATACAATTACCCTTAAGGAAGCTGTTGATTCTACCTGACATAAAGAAAAGCAGTCCTTTTATGTAACTTCATATTGGCCTTTTAAAAGGGTCTGTGGTACCATGGTTATCGTGCCTACTGGGTTTACAGTGCAACCTAAATAACCTGGTTTGGGAAACACTCTCAGAAGCTGAACTGTGATTTAGAATTAATTTTAACAGGTTTGAAACTTTCATTATATGAACTACCTCCTCTGAAGCAGAACATCAATATTTCAGACAAACAAAAATTCTTCCTTTTTCCATTGACTTAGGCCATTACTCAATCCATTGCTATTAAGTGATTTTTCCCAAATAGAATATACCTTTAAGTACACACTGGGTTGCAGTAACTTTAATTCTTAAAGAATTTAGAACAAAATAAAGCCTACTAGTCCATGCACTATTTTGATTAATCTATATCAATTAGTTGAGATAATTTGTTAGCAAACCTTACTTACTCATTTAGCAATAAATGGTGGATCTGAGCTCTTCATTTAGAAACTGATTTTTACAAAGACCGAATTTCCTAAACTTTATGAATACATTATTGCTTATCTTTCCTAAAATTCTTAACTACGTCTATTTAGAAATGGATTTTCACACAGAATGAGTTTCCTTAAGTTTTTGAAAACTTTACCACTTAACACTCCTAAAAATCTTAAGTAGGTCTATTGCAGAGCACAAAGGAACAAAATATTTTTTCCTTGGCATTTGACTGTAAATAGTTTGAATACTGCAGGGGATTTAGATGAATGATTTAGATTAATGTCGACTGGCAGATGACAACTCAGCTTCATGAAAACTTTTGACAACTCAACCTTTGTTTTTTCTCTGTTTTGGAGAAAACACAAAACTTTCTGAAATGAAGAGAGACTTGAGGCAACCAGGTTCACATTCCCCTCTTTCTTCAGCGAAGTTTACCACTCCACTTCATTTTGGATAAGTTAGGATAGAACAGGAATTCAAATGGAAGTCCCAAGTCATCTCAACATCCCAGTCACCATGCTGGAGAACGAGAATTCTCTCTTATACATAGTGTTACCAGGTCCCTTAACATCTTTCCAGTCAACCTTTTTGTGGAATTTGTTTTTAATACAAATTAAAAACCCTGAGGAAATCCCTAAGCTGACTTCAGTGGAACCAGGATTTTACCCTGCAGTAACAGACACTTGCCATACAAGTAAAATACTGTTTAACCCTTTTGTGAGTTTATTCTAAACACTTTAAATGAAATAGTGTCTGTTCCACAATTTTGCCGTAGACTTTTTCAGTTATTACCTTCCCACTTCAGAATTATGCTATGTCTCCTAATTCATGCAGATTTTGACATTGGACTCTATTCAAAGTCCTTATTCAAACAAACTCCATACCAAAGGGAGAAAATTAAATTCCTGTACAAGTAAAATATGTCAGAGTAGGTCCTTAGTAATGGATTTGGGGATTCCTCAGGGTCAAAGACACTACTAATTTCTTTCCATTACCATATACAAGTTCATTTTACCATGTTCTACCCAGAAGAAAAAAACATTTTTTGTCTAATAAAATGAAAAAAATGGCATTGTTGATTTTTTTTTCCCCAGGGAGTGTGTATCAGTGCATGACATTCCTCAAAAGCAGCAAATCACTGTAGATTAATTCATGCACAGCAACTGAGTACAAGTGTGCACAAGTTTTGAGAGAAAATGACCTAAGCCAGACAGAAGTAAAGTCAGACAAAGCACCACTGGGCAGACAACATCACCCTGAAGGTAAAACCCAGTCAAAGGCAATAGGAGAGGCAAGGAAGCTGATACAATAGCAACAAGGGAACATGTACTGCAGGTTTATTCTTCTCATTATCTTTAGAGTCTGGTAGGAAGGCTGCAAGTATTTTCAGGGCCAAACCGTAACAGTAAGTGTTTGATGTCTGTGTTCAGTAGAACTAGCTGCAAAGTAAGATCCTACAAGCCTGGCATTGAGATGCTGGAGTCAGACTCTTGTTCTGCCCTTAGAAACATAAAAGTCACGTGCTGCTTTTTTGTCCATTTGGGCTCATGTACCAAATCGAGCTACAGTTTTATATATTTCAGATGGATGATTTCAAAAAGGCATCATGTTTTACAAGAGCTCTTTAGCCCATTCAGGCAGATACTTAAATACAACTTCACAAAATCACTGTTTTCAATGATACTCAATATGAAAAAAACCCTAAAACATAGAGCATACAGTCATCAAATATCATTTTATCTGCCTGTAAGTACAGTTTAGGATAAGATTTTGATCCCTCTACTTTCATGGAAATCAATGGAAATCTTTCATTCAGAGGTATAAGTATCTCCATGTGGCACATATTATAACATTAAAAAATCCTATATTTGAGAGAAGGGGAAGATGGTAGGATAATACTGTTCTTCTGAGGTCATATATGTATAATGGAGGATAAATGGGACAGTGGAGAAAGAAAGAAGGAACAAATAGACCAAATTCCCCTCAGTGCAGTACAGTGTTACAAACTTGGCGCAACGCCTTTAAGTACATTGGGTAGGATTTCTGTTTTGCTGAGGAACCTTTACACAACTCCACACTGGGCTTTTTTTTTTTTTTTTTCCCCCTGGGGAAAATGCTACTGGCACATGTCAAAAGCAGCTCTATTTGTAACTCCTAGGAGAAAAAGCTTGTCATGAACACATTGAACTTCAATATAAAGGATCTCACAAGCTGTTCTGATAGGAGCACACGTAACAACCTGCACATCTCTGACTGCATTCCCCTTTCCTGCTGCAGTCAGCATATGCCTTTCTCCCTAATTGGACAGGCATTTTCTACTCTCAGACACTTCTAAAATATATTAGCATTTATGCCTGTAGAAAAGGACTTGAGGGTGCTGGTGGATGGAAAGCTGAATATGAGCCAGCAATGTACACTTGCAGCCCAGAAAGCCAATGGCATCTTGGGCTGCATCAAGAGATGTGTGGCCAGCAGGTCAAGGGAGGTGATTCTCCCGCTCTGCTCTGGTGAGACCCCACCTGCAGTGCTGTGTTCAGCTCTGGGGCCCCCAGCACAAGACATACATGGACCTGCTCGAGTGGGTCCAGAAGAGGGCCAGGAAGATGACCAGGGGGCTGCAGCACCTCCCCTATGAGGACAGGCTGAGAGAGTTGGGTTTGTTCAGCCTGGAGAAGAGAAGGCTCCGGGGAGACTTAAAGAGGGCCTATAGGAAAGGTGGGGAGGAACTCTTGATCAGGGAGTGTAGTGATAGGATGAGGGGTAACAGCTTCAAACTGAAAAAGGGTAGATTTAGATTAGATACTAGGAAGAAACTCTACTGTGAGGGTGGTGAGACACTGGCACAGGTTGCCCAGAGCAGCTGTGGCTGCCCCCTCCCTGGCAGTGTTCAAGGCCAGGTTGGATGGGGCTTTGAGCAACCTGGTCTAGCAGAAGGTGTCCCTGCCCATGGCAGAGGGTTGGAACCAGACGATATTTAAGGTCCCTTCCAACCCAAACTGTTATATGATTCTATGATTCTGTGTCTTACAGATGGAGCAAAATCTACAGTTCAGATCCAAACGTCCCTGGCCCTTTGGAAAAGAACAGATAAACAGGGGCCTAAGTTGCAGAAATTGGTTATTTTTAACTCTATTCACAGTATCTGTCTTAGTCCCTGCACAGACTAAAAAAGTGTATTTGTTAGCACACTGTTTGGTTACACAGCTGCAGAACCAGTTACTACAACAACGATATAGTTGTTCACACCGTGACGACATTTTTCACAAGAAAGAATAGATATTGAACATTTTTGAATTCTGCCTAAGCATCTGTAGAAAACAAAAAAAGGCAATAGTTATTTTTTTACCTACGTTTCTCGTATTTGTAATCCTGTTATCCCACTTTCCCTGGTGGTAACTTCATGAAATTTCATATGAATATAACAGTTCATCTTTACAATCTGAAATACTGCACTTAGATATTCAAAGACATGTTGCACACTAGGGCTGTTTGGAGATCAGTGTAAGAGTCTGTGTGACTGCAAGAAGCAAAAGTCACTGATTCAAGGACTATCTCCCATCCACAATTAAAAATATGCTCCAGTGCGTAAGAGAGAGCCCTGAAAAAAAGAGATGAAACTAGAAACTTACGTCATGACCAGTGTCTCATCTCCAGGTTCACTAAGTAATCCATCTACAAATACTGAAGTGCTGGTAAAATTATGCGTACTCCATGTCTGGCCTTCATCTATGCTGAATCTAAAAAAGAGCAGAAATGGTTTTCATTTACAACTATTATTACATGAAACAGAATCAATTCATTCAAAAAAACCCACAAACCCTCACTACTAAAGTCCAGGATTTACAATCATGAAAATACAATATGCTTGGACAGTACATCATATTAATGTGATCTTTTTTCTCAGCAACGTATCCAGGGGCTCACAACTTTATTAGAAGGTGTATAATAAATTTGCCACATGAACTGAAATTCTCAGGCAGATAAAAACCGAGGTCTGTCAACAACTATCTTGCTACCTTGTGGGTTCAAGAGCAATTTAATTCACACTTCATTCTTTCTAATAGTCTCTGAGCTAGAAACCTGTCAAGCAGAGGTCAGTGAAACATGAGAGGCAAAACAGCCCAACTGTTAAAACATGTGGGAGGTGTGGTAACTGTGGGCACCAAGTTGATGGCCCTTCACAGCTGCTACCATGCACTTAAAAATTTGCAAATGATGCTGATGAATCAGCAAAACATATTTAAAATACTCTGTGCACCCAAAATCTATGAATCAAAGTCTCTTTTCTTCTGTACATTTCCTCCAGGTCTTTTGGATAGCAGGTTAATGATGGCCTTCATTCTAGCTAACCAAGTATATATATAGTTCCTATTAATTTATTATGCAAAAATGAACCTAGTCACAAGTGATAAAGATCTCTTATGTTTTTTATGCCAAAGAGGATATTTTGTATGCCATGACATAAGGTTACCATATTTTGCTCACTATCATGTAGTTTAAAATTTGTTATTTCATAACAAATGCTTTGCAGCAAACCTTTCCTGACAAACAAGCTGAGAAGGCCATTTGCTCCATTATCACTACATGACAGTATCTTCGCATACTAGAGTTAATTTGTGCATTAATATCTCAGATGAACCAGATTTCTTGCATACTGTGTTACATAGCACATAAGCACACAGAAGTCCTTTCCCCATTGGCTCCAAAAGTCTACATTATATTACTCTTGTCAGAGCAACTCAGGGCCATTCTCCAACATCTTCATTCACCACAGCCCTTGGAGGGGACTGAGCTTTACTACAGTAGCAATGAACCATTCTGACTGGATACCTAAGTCACATATGCATCATCGGTTGAGCAACATTGCCACATCCTGCTGGTGCAAACCAGCAGCAGATAACAATCATGCTGAATATGACTTGTACTGTAGAGTTCCAGGATAGCCTTTTAAGCAAAAATACCTACACTGATGAAAGAAAACTTTATTGTGATTAATGCATTCTGCCATGGTACCTTCCGCACAATGAAGTAATCTTTAAGAAAACATCCACCTGCATTTTGTTGACTTAATGCATGTTAAATTAAGCTGACTCCACCTGCGTTTCATACATAATCACATGGAAATGCTCATCTTAAACTCTACACTTTGCCTGAGGTCTCCAATACACAACAGCTGTACTTTAATTGACTGTAGGATTACTTGAGTATTTTCAGAGGGATAGAGGTGTCTTTGATGGCCACAATAACTCCACCATGGTCCAGGTACAAGATGTGATGTTCTTCTTCAAAGACCTACAAGTCAAACAAAAAAAGGCTAGCTAGGCAAGTGTACAAAAGAGCAGAAATAAAATGTATGGGCAAACCAGGATTAAAAGACTTATATGTTTTGTAATGTCCACACTTCAAATTGAAAAGGACATAAAAGTCAGTTTAACTTTTATATTTCTCCCAGCTGCAAAAGAAAAGAAAGTTAAGCAGGTGAATCAGAAAACGTTCAGGTTCAAATCACAGTCAGATTAAACTGTCTAAAGCGATTTTAGCCCAAGCTTGTATTTCTCACAGTATGCATTCTGCATTCCTTCCTGTTATATATCACTAAGTGACCTATCACCTTACTTCAGTGTTTGCCATATTCTGTGTATCTTGCAGAATAAAATGCTTTGTAGTCTAATTTAAAGAAAAATAAGAAAAGTACTGCTGTCCGTGAATTTCTCATATGTTCTCCAGACTCTACAGAGCTTGAAATTGTTGGTGCAAGCATGCTTTCTGTATTTCCAGTGTCAAAGATTTATTTAAATTGAAAATTTATGCAATCTCACACAGTGGCCTCTCTGAGTTCTGAATGAAAATACATGTAATATTGATCTAATGTTATAAAGGATTCAAAATTTCCTAAATGAATTTCATTCATTTTTCCAGAGGTCATCAGCAGTACTAAAATAAATGAACAGGCAGATATTTTCCCTTTTCCTTATCTGAAATCTGTTTTAAGGCAAGGTTTACTCATGTTATTAATCTGTGAAAGTTCATTTAACATAAAAGCAGGTTATAAAGTGAAAGTTAGTATACATATTTAGCAGTTAATAGATGAACATGCAGCCTCCCACACACTTTGACAAAGCAAAGTGAAAAACATAACAGTTAGCTTTACTTTGGCTTGTGAACAAAAAATACTGACAATATTAAATGCTTCTTTTTAGCAATACTAAATGCTAAATTCAGAGGATTTATCAGCAAGACTGGACCGGAGGAGGGAAAAAGTATCTTATAGCACATTCACAATTACTTCAAAAATAGTACGCATTTAATTTGGGTTGAGAATTCACTCTTCCTCTCATCTAGTAAGAGCATATTTTATGGGAATCCTAGGGCTTCAAGTGTCTGATCAGTTTTTCAATGTTGCCAATTTACAGATGAAACCCTGATATGAGGCATTTACAGTCCTATCTACTTGTTCCACACAGCTGCATATTTTAGAAGAGAATTCAGTAAAGGACAGACATTAATTTTAGATGTGCTTCAAAAGGATGAGATCAGCTGGAGTCAGATATGCAAGCAGAGTTTTGATCCTCCTCTAAACTTTGCTTGAACTTTTGCTCAAATCAAAATGGAATGGTATATGCTGGAACACCAAAGTGTTCAAAAACTTCATCATCATAGTGAAGACAAAGCAAGCTGGCATCTGCATCACTTCAACCAATTAGGTTTTCCCAGAAAAGCATCATGGCACTTCCTCATGCACCATGTTAGTTCCCCAGCTTTAGCACACTACAAAGCACAGCAGACACATTACAGGCGTATTAATGCCATCTTTATACCATGCTCTTCTTGCACACATTTTGAACAATTTATAACCAAAATGTATGAAATTCCTTATGAAAGCAATTCTTCATCTTCAGTACACTGAAAAGAACTAACGATTTCATGCCTGTGGAGTTCAGCACAAAAGTAAATATTTATCTCTAATTTTTTGGAAACAAAACCAAGGCAAACAGTTTGCAAAGGACTTATGCAAAGGTGATCCCAGTGCCAGAGCTGAAGTTCAAACCCAGAAACATGAGACACATGTGTTCACAGTCAGCCACAAATTCTGATATACGTCTCTTCACTAACTAAAGCCAGGTATAAATTTATTATGAACCTTACTAGTAGCCAGCTGATAAAGAGCTAGATTTTCATAAGCAATTTCTACATTTTTCCTTCTCTAATTTTTTCAGCTTTATAATCATAATGCCAACTTCTTTTCTCTACCTCTCCTCTAAATGTTTTTTTTGTGTCTGTCTTAACAACTTCAGCAGCGATTTCAGGCTAGAATATCTGCGGGGAGCAATTAGGAGAGCTCCATGAAATCAATGAAAACACGTTTAAATGATCCTTGAGGCATATACTCCACACAATTTTACTCTGAGATACAGAAGTTTCAAAAGTAACCAAAAATGTTTGAAGTCACTTGCTTCTCTCACCAAGTGACATCCATTTCTAAATTCAAATCTGGAAACAGAAGGGGTTTTTTCCTGCACAGAATGAGCCAGTTGGACCTTCCCAGGGGTGAGAGGCTGGGACTGCAGCCTTTCCTGTTGTGCTTAAAGGTGTTAGCATCCATCTCTTAAGATGTCTTCAGAAAAACAAGTATTTCCACTAAACAACGGTTTTCCAAATTGCTTTGGTGCAAAAGGAGTTGACACAGAGAAATAATATTCCAACAAACAAAGCACTAGCCTAAAGCTCCAGAGATCTAGATTCAGTTCCTAGATATAGAACAGACTCTCTGTGTAACCTTATTAGCTTAATTGAGCGTTTTGTTGCTACACTAGCTACTTGGGTAGCAGATCAAATATGAAAGGTTTTCTGCTGCTGAAACACCAATGGCAACCACTACTGTGAACAGAATTATATTTTTTTTTTAAATAATATACACTCATATGTATACAGAAGGCCATCCTTAGCATTTGACAGAGTATCCTAGTATTTCAAAAATCATGACTGAAAGAACAGGCCCCACAGAGGACAAAGAAAATTAAAACCTGTATGGTCTGAAATTGTGTTCAAAGGCAGCCCATTTCTCCCAGGATGCAAGATTTATTTATCTATCTGACTCAGTATCATGTTCGTTAACACATTTTATGATATTGTTTTCCTGGTGTAATAGACAGAGAAATCTTCCAAATAGACATATCTGTCCAAGAAGTTCACCTTAGGCTACATCTTCGTGGTTCACTTCAGATGATCTAAGCCCACGTAGTTCATGATAATGTCAAGGTGAGATTCCCCTCTCCTATGGGCCAGATCACTGCTGCTGCATAGATTTTTAAGCTACTTGTAAATCAGCTCCCAAACTACTGCTATTTACAGTGCAATGGTGTACAATACACAGTCAGAAATTTCAGTTTGCCATAAAATGGTACCCAGTGTTATTTCAGGAAAGCTTTTAATTAATTCCTTGAACTGCCTTTTCTCCCAAGTCTTTTATATTTACTTTTCTGTGTTGCTCTGTCAGACTACATTGCTCCTCTTCTAGTCTGTAGACAGCTCTTCAACATCATGTGTGGCACCTGAGAAAGGTGACAGGCACTCACTAATGACAACCACAAAGTTTCCAAATCAGTGACTTAAATCCACCCAGAGAGTTGTGCCAAAACATGAGCTCCGTTGTGCTTTTGCCAGCTCATAAGACCTGTAATTTACTGTCTAAATAATTCCCATATCATCTGACTGAAGCCTTGTCTTTTGTTGCATGAACTCCAACAAAGAAAGGAAATGTACCACTGACCTCTGGAAGGACTGTTTGATCAGGAAGAGTGAGGCCATAAAATACATACAATAATCTACATTTTCATTCTGATCACAAATATTAAGATTGAGTAAGCTCTTTCAAAGGCTTTGTAGCAGTTTTAATTAAAACAAAGCCAGCAATTGTGTTTCTCATTTTACTGTCATAATGAGGGATCAGTTTGCGGTTGGTTTGACAGCATGAATAGTCATCTTAAGGTCAAGTTTCATCACAAATCATTTGCCTGAGTGTGTCTCAAATAAAAAGCAGAAAAAATATGAATTTGATCCTCTTCACTCTTTTATTCTTATCTTTCACCCCAGAAAAACTATAGAACTTCGTCAAATTGTGACAATAAATTATTAGAAGGCCTCTGTGAAGTGTTAGACAACACAGTACTCACTGTAAATCCTGGAAAGCTTTTGCATTTAAACACCTATTTATCATACACTAGAATTCAAGAAGGAATTTGGAATAGAATTTTATCTTTTAAACCTCAGAGGACATTATCATGACAAAAAGAATGTATTTCTTTTAAAAAGTCCTTTTTTGAAGTATTAATGGCACCCTACAACAGCAACAAAAGAAACCATCTGTATTTTAACCTCAAACTCCCCAAGCTCAGTAACACTAGTGAGAACACTTTCACACTTACTTCTCAGAAAATAACACAATTTTATTTCACCTAAACACTAAACCACTATTTTTTACTGAAATTAAATGACTTCTTGACACACTTTGGTCCTTTGAAGATGTATTTTTTTTCTCCTGGATATACATTATAAGTAGATTCCAGATCATATTGTGTGTTACTGCTATATACACACAGAAAGAATCCCTGTGATTAAGCATTGCTGCGACACAGCAATTTAGGAAAAAATACATAATAAAGGTGAAATGCTTAAATTGACACTGGGCATTGGAAGCAGAAGACACCCAGAATTCAAATGGCACCTCAGCTACTACATGACTGTCCTTTTTTAAATACTTTTCCTGTTTATAGTCCCAGAATTAATTAAATCATACTAAAAGACATTCAAAGGTTTACTGTTTCTTTTTTTTAAATCTCTTTTTGCTTTCTCAGTTTCAATGAAGAACAAAATTTAAGCTTAAATATCAGTTTTCAGACTATGAAGCAGAAGAATTTCTGCCTTTTACTGAAACCATGTCTTTTAGGTTGGACTATTTGAACTGCAAGATCTAACCCAAGTCCACTTCAATAGCACAGGAAGATTACTTACACTATTAAAACGTAAACAGACTCTATGTTTTTTTAAGCACAATACTTATAGGATCTTTAAAGAGACCAAAACATTCAAGTTTCAGCAGAACCTGACAGACTGACAGATTTGTCTTTATAAAACATCTCCTTAATCTCTCACAGTTTCCAAGCAAAATTGGAATAATAATAGCCACCTCCCTTAAAAGCGTGGGTATATAAAGCTTAGTTAAGCATTATAAAGTTCATCACATTTGGTACACTAGCATTATTTTCAGGTGTCTTTGATGATTTCTGTTTCCTACCTGACGCCACGTGTTCCCACAGTCAGACGTTATGTACATCTCTTCTTTATACTCAACCAGCTGGGACCCCAGGTTACCTGTCACAAAACAGGAGGAAACAAGGGTTGCATCCACATGAGCAAGACAGACTGGATCTAGTCCTTACACCAGTCAGAGTGAGAAGTTTCCAGGTCAGAGCAAGAACTAAACTCAGATCAGCAGGCTTACTTCAATTCTGGTAGCACCAGATAAATCCTTTTAAAACATGTATGTACACATTTAATGTCTTCCTTTACACTGCTAGCTATCCAGAAGTAGGAGTAATGAGGCTTAATTCTAATAATGAAACGCAGAGGCCAAACCAATAGCTTAGTTTTGTCACCGCATGCTGAAAAATTATTATAGAAGAACACGTATTTAAGATGTAAGTCTGAAATGCCCATAAACTCAGAAGCCATACCTTAACCTTAATCACATTCTGTAAAATTATTCTTCTTGAACTTGAATTGTTAAAATGAAAAAAAAAATTATCTGTAGACTTTACGAAGCAGTAGCAAAATCTAGAATCTGGAGAAATACGTAACACTGAAAAGAGGGGGCAGGGCGTTTGAAAAAGTGTGTAAATACAAAAGAATTTACAGCATAATTACTTGATATACCCAAATATTGACCAGGAAGCTACTGCATATTTTGTCAAAAAGCACTGAGGAGCAGCAGCTAGCATTCGGACTGCTGCAAAGCAAACAGAAGTGTAAAAATAAACTTGTGGAAGACAATCCTAGCAGATGCAATCCCAAACACTGAGATCTCCATCTCTTAACATGCGGTATTTCAAATAGCAAACTATTAAACCACCAGGCAGTTTACAGTGTTCTAGGGGAGAAGCAATCATAGCACAGTATTCCTTCTAAATGACATCCTCCAGGGGATTCTGACTTAAATATATGGTTTGCATGTTTTTACAGCAGAAATAAGATAAAAGTTATCAGATCCTCTTAAGGAAGCATGACGATGAAAGAAAACACTTGAGATTAGGACAACAGTATGAAATTTCACTTCTGTTACATAAATAGCTGTTTTTAACCACCAAAACAGATCTGTTTATGCAGAGCATGCTCACCAGCGCTAAAAGCAAGTAAGCAGAAAGTGTCAGGCTGACTCAAGTATTTCATAGATTCACAGAAATGTTTGGGTTTGGGTCAGAAGGGACCTTACAGATCAGGTAGTTCCAATCCCACTGCCAGGGGCAGGGACACCTCCCGTTAGACCAGATTGCTCAAAGAACTGGCTCAATTGAACACTGCCAGGGAGGGGGCAGCCACAGCTGCTCTGGGCAACCTGTGCCAGTGTCTCACCACCCTCACAGGAAAGAATTTCTTCCTAATATCTAATCTGAATCTACCCTATTCCAGTTTGAAACTGTTATCCCTCATCCTATCACTACCATCCCTGCTCAACAGTCCCTCCCCACCTTTCCTATAGGCCCCTTTTAAGTACTGGAAGGTCCCTAGAAGATCTCCCCAGAGCCTTCTCTTCTCCAGGCTAAACAAACCCAACTCTCTCAGCCTGTCCTCATCGGGGAGGTGCTCCAGCCCCCTCATCATCTTCGTGGCCCTCCTCTGGACCCACTCAAGCAGGTCCATGACTTCCTTGTGCTGGGGGCCCCAGAACTGGATGCAGCACTGCAGGTGGGATCTCACAAGAGTGGAGTTGAGGGGGAGAACCAATTCCATCAACCTGCTAGCCACGCTTCCCTTGATGCAGCCCAGGATGCCGTTGGCTTTCTGGGCTGCGAGCGCACATTGCTGGCTCATAGTCAGGTTTTCATCCACCAGCACCCCCAAGGCCTTCTCTGCAGGGCTGCTCTCGATCCACTCATCACCCAGCCTGTATTTCTGCTGGGATTGCCTTGACTCAGCTGCAGGACCTTGCACTTGGCCTTGTTGAACTTGATGAGGTTTGCACAGGCCCACCTCTCCAGCCTGTCAAGGTCCCTCTGCATGGCCTCCCTTCCCTTCAGTGTGTTGGCTGCACCACACAGCTTGGAGTCATCAGCAAACTTGCTGAGGGTGCACTCAATCCCTCTGTCCATGTCACCAGTGAAGATGTTAAACAGCACCAGTCCCAGTACCTATCCTTGAGGAACACCACTTGTCACCGGTCTCCACTTGGACATTGAGCCGTTGACCATGACTCGTTGGGTGCAACCATCCAGCCAATTCCTGATCCACTGAGCGGTCCATCCATCAAATCCATGTCTCTCCACTTCAGAGACAAGGATGTCATGTGGGACAGTGTCAAAAACCCAACAGTCAGACAATATTAAGTCATGAAATATTACCTAATGAAACAGATCCAAAATTAAAGCTTCACACTGAATTCTGTTGTATTTTCTCCCCAAATACATGTTTATTTAAAACTATTCGGTTAATAGCCATTTTGAACTTATTATTATTTTGAATCCTAAAAAACCTATGTTAGCAAAGATCAGGAAAAAGTATTTTATTTTCCTGCATATCACAGATCTTATCAGGAAGTAGGACCAGATCCCATCAGCTTTGTGTAGGAAAGAATAATACGGTCAGTAGAAAGAAGCATGAATGAGAAATCACCTTCTTAGGACTGAAGGAAGTGAGATTTGACTTGCTATTTATACAAAACATATTTCTTTTGCTATTTTTACTGTCCTCTGTACTGTTTTCACCTGCATATGTTTCTGCAAATGGGTATATTTCTTGTGCTTCTGCAATTACTCACAGAACTTTTTTCTGGGATAGCTGAGGACAGAATCTAATGTATTGCTGTCATTCTACACCCTTCTTTGCACACATATTTTTAATAAATGCATTGTTAGTTTTGCTCCTGGACAAATGCTGCTTATTCTACCTCTTTTCACCACTTACGGAAATCTACTTGCATTAGTAGGTCTTTATTTTGAGAATTGCTACAGATCTGCACTTTAAAAAGTGCAGTGGTAAATTGCCTTAGCTAATGGAGAATTAGCCTATAAACTAAACAGCATCAACTTGTGCTTCATTAGAAAGCCTTTTACGTCCAGCTGATATGGTAATGACTGAAAGGTATTAGCAACAGCTTTGTGATTGCAGCTCTGTAACAAGACAGACATGACTTCTCCTAGTTTGGGTTTTACCTTTATTGCCTTTTCTTGGTAAATGCACGAAAGAAGTTGATGTGCTCAGTTATAATCACAGAGAAATTCCATTCTGTCAAAAAACCACAACTGATGAAAAACTTGGCATAGAGGCTGGTGTACTGCTTTGGGAAAAAGGAGTTCACTGCTCTTTGACCTTTGAAAGTAGTCCATCCTCAGGCCAAGGGTGAAAACCCTGAGGTGGGTGCGTGCAGGAACTTCTGATTGCTGACATAATGTTCTGCACGTTAATGAAGGCTGTTATTTCCACTACTTCCAGATTTTTTAAGGAGACAGAGTTATATTACGTAATTTTACAAACTTTATAAAATCATCAAGTTTTCAAGCACATAAAAAACCCCTTTCTGTACAGGAGGATAAAACTCTTCAATTTAGTTGCAGTTTGCTATGTGGGTACTGCAGACAATGTCTTGCTGAAACACAGTGTCAATGGATTCATAAAAAAAAAAAAAGCAAGCGAGGTAACAAGCAGGAAACCTGCATGACCAATGGAGACAGGGAGGCTCCTGCAAAGCACAGGGTGTTATTTGCAGTGGGAAGCAGCCACACAGCCAAATTTCAGAGGTGACAGGCAGAAGGAAATTTCCATAGGAACACACCAGGGTATGTGATGAGTTTGTTAAGCCAAGGATATCTTTGAAAGCTGATAGCCTGAAAAAGGAGAACACAAATAAAACTAAGTCCTTCAAAGAACTTAGTGGACTCACCAGTTTTATTTGCAAATGTTTCTAGTTAACATGTGTCATGCCAGAGTTACAAGTTTTCTCTATTTAAAGAGTTACACTGTTTTAACTTTATTTTTTATGTTCTAATAAAAAATAATTTCAAAGATTTGGGACATTCTCTTCTTTTTGAGATCTAAAATAAAGCAATAATTTTAGGCTTTAGCTACCTTGGAGTATGTCGTGTTACTGGATTAAGCCAGCTAACTAAACAAAGCACATGTAATAGCATCCCATAAACCCCTTTACAACAGCTCCAATTCACATTAAGTGAAATGCAAAAAATCCTGACATTAATAACATTACAAACAACCAACTGCAAAGTCACAGGAGTACTCAAAGTAGAGCTGAGACGTCCTGAAAGTTTCCATGCTCTATCTGAGGAAAATTATGAACCACATTTGTGGTAAACGTGGCAGCCAATAACACATGACATCACAACCAAGTGATACAGAAGGTGAGAAACAGCCAAACTAAACTCAGCCCCAAGACTGGAAGGCAACACTTACAGTGTGTAAGTACCATTCCCACCCTGTCCTGAAGTGTTCTGACTGTACTGCACACCCATGAACAGTGTGATGTTGGCCTGATGACTCACACCAAAATCTGTGCTCCTTATTACCCCTTTAAATACCTGCAGTAACTCCTCAGGTGTGCCATTACAACATGGAAACTTTTCTATCATTTTAGCAGGTTTGTGTCAGATCTCAAAATCCATCTGTGCAACAAGCAAAGGTAATCTAATATACTGAAGGCAATTCAGGTTCATACTGAAAAATTTACTGCATCTGGAATGGGTACTGCAGGCTTGTGCTGGGTTTGTCTGGGGTAGAATAAATTTTCTTCACAGTAGCTAGGATGGGGCTATGATTTGGGTTTGTGCTGAAAACAGTGTTGATAACACAGGGATGGTTTCGTTACTGCTGAGCAGTGCTGACACAGCGTCAAGGCTTTTTCTGCTTCTCACCCCACCCCACCAAGCGAGGAGGCTGGGGGTGCACAAGAAGCTGGGAGGGGACACAGCCAGGACAGGTGACCCCCATTGACCAGAGGGATATCCCGTACCATATGGCGTCATGTTCAGCAACAGAAATAGGGGAGAGGTTGGCGGGGGCTGCTGCTGGGGGACTGGCCGGGCATTGGTCGGTTGGTGGTAAGCAACTGTTTTCATTTGCATCACTTGTCTTTCTTGGTTTTTATTTCT